GAGTTTTTGAAAAATTTTCTAGATGGTAAATTTATTATTCTTTTACTTTATGTTGATGACATGTTTGTGGGTGAAGATTACACTATGATTAACAAGTTGAAATTGGAGTTGAGCAAGTCATTTGCTATGAAAAATTTGAGGCCGACAAAGCAAATACTTGGTATAAAAATTGTTTGTAATCGCAAAAAGGGGCTGATTTGGTTGTCTCAAGAAAGCTACATTGAAAAACTTCTTGAGAGGTTCAACATGCATAAAGCAAATTTGGTTGGTTGTCCACTTGCGAGTTATTTCAAGCTTAGTTCGAATCAATATCCTACAAGTGAGAAAGACAAGGAAGAGATGCAGAAAATTCCTTATGCTTCAGCGGTTGGTTCTTTGATGTATGCCATGGTTTGTACAAGGCCGGATATTGTTCACGTCATTGGTGTGGTGAGTCGTTTTCTCTCTAATCCGGATAAAGAACATTGGGCAGCAGTAAAATGGATTCTAAGGTATCTTCGAGGGACTTCAAAGCTGTGTTTGTGTTTTGGGGATGATAAGCAGATGCTTGATGGGCTCACTCTAATATGGCCGGTGATGTTGATTCTAGGAAATTTATTTTGGGGTATGTGATGACATTTGCAGAGGGAGTTGTGGCATGGTAATTTAAATCACAAAAATGTGTTGCTCTCTCAACTACTGAAGTTGAATTTATTGCCATTACGGAAGCTTGCAAAGAAGAGTTATGGTTGAAGAAATTTTTCCAAGAATTGGGTTTGAAACAAGAAAGGTATGTGCTTTATTGTGATAGTCAAAGTGCTATTCATTTGCGTAAAAATTCTACTTTTCATTCGAGATCAAAACACATTGATGTGAGATACCATTGGATTCGTGACGAGTTAGATTCGAAATTGTTGCAACGCGAAAAGGTTTACATAGATGATAATATTTCGGATATGTTGACTCAAACTTTGTCGAGGGACAAACATTTGAAGTGTCAAACTTTGGTGGGTATGGTTGATGTCTCCACCTAAGTCGGTAGGGGGAGAATTGTTGGGTATACCTCCTTAGTGGAGTTTGAGACCTAATTGGTTTATTAAAAGAATTTGATTTAGTTTGGGATTGGTTATAATATATTTTTAATATATTATAGATATCTTTTGAAAGCCCAATAATAATAGCTAAGATTTTGATAAAAATCCAAGATTCAACAATATATATAGATTGTTTTAGTCTTCCGAAAAGTAGCGGCAGCAGTGGCTTAATATTAATCCAGTGCCGTTTTGGGAACCTTGAAAAAATGCAGCGTTCTCAGCCAAGGGCACAAACGCTGGAGTGTTGAAAAAAGCTGAATCCACCATTTGGGAAGAGTTAGAAACGTAACTCGGCCATTTACCAAACTACCCTCATCTCATAAATTGGGGCCTAGGGCAAAATGAGGCCACATTTGCCTCCTTCAAAGTCTGGTTCCTTTAGCGAAATCCTCCTTCAAGCGGCGCTGTGTAACTCCGTCGAACAACCAATGACCTTGCCATCCCCCGCCGAAGCTGCCGCCGGATTCGTCGTCCACATCTTCGCCTTCGCCGGATCTGCACCATCAGGTACGTCGAAAACCGTCTTCCATTTACTATCTTCTCGCAAGTAGTGACGGACCCAAAACCATGGCAGCAGTTGTTCTTGATCTTGTTGATGACCTACACTTGTGATTTCGGATGACATTCATAATGGTTGGTCCATGTTGGTTTGTACTTCTGATTTTGGATGTGAAAAAAAGGGTTTTTGTATATCCGATCTGAAACACCAAGGTGTTCTGTACTTAGAACACCTGCAGATTAGATTAATGACAAATTGATCTAAGAATTCTAATTATTTCCATGGTTGCTCCATATTGGTTTGAACTTGTGATTTCGGATGTCCAAAAATAAATGTTTTTCCCATTTGAAACACCAAGGTGTTCTGTGTACTTAGAACAGCTGCAGATTCGATCAATTTTTTCCAAGAATTCTAATGAATCCCATTAAGTGAAGTGTAGTGTATATATATATATATATATGTACTATATACGATGAAGTGGAGCTATTGTATGAAACTTGCACTCTTTCATGGATTGGACACCATACTCTGTTGCTTGAAATCAGTTTTATGATGCTGTTGGGAAGAGCTTTTGATCATGAAATTGTTTGTATAGGTTAAAAATTGGGCTGAATGATGTAATTAATTAATTAATTTCAGCGACTGTTAGCATTCACATGGTTGATACAACAATTAGATATGGGGTCACTTGTGTTCTTTTAACACATTCTGCCTTGATGCCTTACATGTTTAGTGGAATCTGATATGTATATATATATTTCCTATGATTATGATCTTATTAAACCAAGCACGCCATAACTTGCTCAAATTTGGTGAAAGTCACAATAATAACATTGCTCAATTATGCACAAGGATTAGATACATTAGGTTGGGGTTGTCTCGCAAACAAACAAATTAGTAAGCATTTTCTTAGGCTAATTACACTTTTGATTCCGAACATTTTAATTGTGTTAATTTCATCCTCAAAGTATTAAATATGTAATAACTTAATTATATGCCTAATAGTGTATATCGTTGCAATTAGGGGTGTTTTTTGAACAAAAAATTACATATTAAGAAGAAAAAAAATAAGCATTTACAAATTGACACAATCAAAATATTATATTAGGACCAAAATAAATATCCATGATTCTTATAATGAATATTGACAATGATGCATTCAATATTTTGGAAATACCTTTTTTTTCTTCTAATTTTGGGAATAAAATTGATATAATTGAAAGGTTAGAAACAAAATGACATAAATTACATATTGTATGTAGAGATCAAAATATAATGAACTCTTTTTTTTTTTTAATTATGAACAATCCTAAGACCAAACTAGATTCTTTATGCCCACCCAAGCAGGCTCTGAAAACCTACAATCATTTGCAAACCACATTTATACAAAATTTAAAAGATAAATATCATATCAGTGAGTGTCAAACTCAATTCATCTGAGTTTTGAATCAAATATTAATAAGTTCAACTATAATTAGTATCAGTGGTTAATGCAAAATGAATCAAATGATGTGTAAACTTGTTTAAAAGTGGTTGGGGGTTTTGTTTGATGCTGGTTGCAATTATGTTAGATTTTTACAAGAGAGTAAAACATAGGATTTCAATTGATTTTGCTTGTGTTCATAAACAATACGTTATTTCCATAGACAATATTACAACAATACATTATTGCCATAGACAATATTGCATTCTTTTTTGTCTATATGGCTTGTGAAGGAAATGCATTAGGCAATTGTGCAGTGTCAATTACCATTTGTGTGCCTAGTTTCACATGGAATTTTGGATGGTTGTTGATATTCAGGCCACAGAAGGTAGTAGTCAAGATGTGTAGGTCATTAATAATTAACGGTCTAACCCATATGCATTGTCAAATGCAAAGAAGTTTTTTACTGTTAAGGGAAGCCCACGGTTCTCTCTTTTCTCTCTCCAATTGATTCATCCTATCATGAGTCCTTCAATAGTGGCTCAAAGTTTATATATATATATATATATATATGTATGTAAGATGGCACAATAAATATTAAAATAAGACATTATATTTTCTTTTCTTTTTTAATTATTTGTTTTTGTTAATCTCACCTGAACCACCTCCATATCAATGTTTTGTGTGATCAAAATAATACTATGACCATTTTGGTGTCGATGTGAGAACCACTTGCTGTTCTCATGGCAAAAATTCGTACAACATAAATCCCATATATTCCTGAAGTAGTTTACCAATACTGGACAACACAAGACAACGACAGTACTTGGAAAAATTTGGACAACAAAATGGCTAGAGTCCCGACACACCACTAAACTAGCATTTTCAAGTATTAACGTAAATTCAAAATGAACTTGTTTCAGTTACTGTCTTTTATTTCGCACAGTAGATTATATTAGTTCAATTTATACATGAACAAAAAAAATCAAAGGAGTATACAAATGGCGTCCTCCACGTCAAGTGCCACGTCATCATGGCCATCGAGGATGTGTGATTGTAGGTTTGGACATTGCGTTGTACAGATATCAAGATCCGCCAAAAACCCTGGTCGTGCGTACTACGTTTGCCCTAGAACTACGGTGCGTCTACGTTGCCACTCTCTTATGCACTTAGTCATGTCATTGTTCATTTCTGGTTGTGTCATATAGTATGCATGCTAACTATCTACTGCAATTTTGTCCAGCAGAGATGTGCGTCGTGGGTTGGTTGGTGTGATGAGTTTCGCAGCACCAGTTTGTGTACTGACCAGCCACATAATGATGTCGATCAGGGGTTACGAGCGGACATTGCGCACATAGATCAAAGCCTACGTATGCTTAGGACCGTCATCGATTTTTTGTGCGTCGTTGTTTTAGTGTTGTTGTTTCGGATGTGATGTATTGTCATGGATGTTCACATGGTTGTTACTTTTTGTATGACATATGTACTTTGCTGTTAGTTAGATGTTTTGATCCTGTTACATAAGATCTCCCCAACGTGTAGTGCAAACGGACTTTGTCTTCCGGAAAATATTGTACTGTTTGTTGTTATTACTGCAGTAATTGTGTTTACACTTTTATTTCACTTTTGGCCATGCAAACAATATGTACTGTACTTCATTTCTTTCTGATATTGCATTGTAAATGTTAAAAGCAGGACAGCACTACTCATGGCAACAAACCGATCATCACCCCGTACCCCTTCAAAGTATCGAGGTAACGCTATCACAGCAACCCAACCCCAGCCAGTCCACAAATGCCAATTCGACAGCGATAATACAAAGCTGTTTCTTCAACTCATCATTGCTGAAATGGAAGGTGGTATTCGACAACCGTGCGGATTGTCCATGGAAGGGTATAAGATTGTAGCAAACAAATTTCTAGAGAAAACCGGCCTATTACATTCAGCCAAACAAATGAAAAACAAGTTTGACAACTTGAAGAAAGATTGGGTCGCCTAGAAGAAGATGGAGAATGCCAGCCACGGCTTGACAGGGCTTGGGTACGACCATGAGACAGGCTTGTTCACTGCACCTGACCATTGGTGGGCGAAAATGCAAGCGGTATGTTTTCACAAAACTTTTATGTTCCCCAGTACTATTGTACTAGTATCGCTGATTTTAGTTGCCATATTTTGTTCACATAACTATTTTCAACAAATCAAAGCACTTGTTGAACATACTGCTTTAACATATGTTGGGCAACCCACATCGTGCGATATGTACACTTAATTCAAGAGTTACATTTATTGTTTTGTAATTACATTTCAAGCTGTACTGACATATGTGTTTTCTCCTTCACAGATGAACAACCGATGTGCTAAATTCAGGAGTAAGCCTCTAGAACACGTGGATCTCATGGAGCGGGTGTACTCTGGCACAACAGCGACTGGGAAACATGCATGGACTCCAACAGAAGTGCGCGATGATGCTGCTGCTGTGACCAATGCCATGAACGTGGATAGCGGAATGGGACCTCTCAATGCAGGCACACCACCACAGCCGGGCCATGACACTGTCGAGGAGAACGTGGTTGATAATAGCCTCTTTAAGGATGCTCCCCCCCAGTCAGCCGTGGATGGATCAGCCAATCCAAAACGGCGCAAGCGGGAAATGCCTGGTACTGTTGCTAGTAGCATGGACAATCTCATGGAAGTAGTGAGCAAACAAAGCAGGGAGCTAAAAATCACGCAATACGTTGTCACGAGTAAAGGTGACAACACAATGGGGCACTGTCTTGCACGGCTTATGAGCACGCCTAGATTAGAACCCAGCGGTAAGTTGTTCTCATTCGCATGCGGCATAATGGATTCACCCGATAATCAGGACATCATCATGGCCCTTCCCCAGAATTACATTGTCAATTAGTTGACAGAGAAGCGTGCCTGCACGCCGACCAATGTTGGCAGGGATCATGAAGGGGGGACACGGCTAGGGGTGTGCATAATACCGCCAAAACCGCCGAAACCGCCAAAACCGCACCAAACCGCACCGCCAAGGCAAATTCATTATTATTTGTCAATCGAACCGCCGGTTTTTGGTAAGAAAAATATCAATCCGCCGGTTTCTATTTTTCTTCCAAACCGCACCGACCCGCACCGCTATTAAATCATGTTTTATAGGATTCTAAAAATTCTTTTTTACTTAAGTTTGCTTGTTGTTCTATACCTTAGAATATAGTATTACATTAATGCTCGAGGGGAATTTTATGTATTGTATTTGATCATTGCAGCTTCCACAGATACTTGTAATGAACTGATGGCATAGTCGTTGATATTATCATGTTGTTGCTACACTTGCTGCATCAGAAGAAAGCTTCGCAAGATGCTTAACATCACGATGTCTCTCGCCTTTTTTTTACTCTTTGATTTAAGTTTTGTAATTTGAATTATATTTTTTATAAACCGCCAATCCGCCCGAACCGCCAAGGCAAATCCGCCATTATTTGCCAACCAAACCGCCGGTTTTTGATAAGGAAAATGGCAAATTCTAGTGACACTTTTATCAATCCGCCACCCGCCATACTGTTTCTATTTTTCTCTCAAACCGCACCGACCCGCACCGCGCACACCCCTAGACACGGCTGTTCAGGAGTGGTGGTGCTGTTGACTTGGACTAGGCCTTTGTGGTTGGATTGTCATTTTACTATTTGGTTATCATGAGATTGTAGTATATTATGTGTGTTTGTATTGTTTTTTATTTTTTTATTTTTTTGGGATGGTGAAGTCTAGAGACAGTTCGTATTTCTTTTATTTTGGTGTGGACATGTATGTATGATTCTGTAGGACTTCGCAACCGATATGCGAGTATACACGCCTCAAGGTGACATTATTTTGGTGTCACGTGCTTGTTATATTATGCACAACTTTTGTCCAGGGAATGTACATGCAACTCTTTGCACGCTTTTTTTGGTTTGCTGTGTTTTTATTTATTTTATTTGCTCCTTGTCACTTGCAGATGGTGAGTTGTGGGGCAGACATTAGTTTTCTGGGAAAAACAAGAGGGCAACATTCGTATAGTGTATTTGGATTGAATCTGATAAATCTATTTTATAATTGACAAAACGAAAATTGGTCTTACAAAAGCAAACACTAATTTGCTACAAAATTAAAAAGTAGATAATGTAGTCCACAGGAAGGTTAAAACAACATTGAAAATGATGGGTTTTTTGAACTATGTTACGAAAAAAAAAAAAAATAGGATGCAAAGTAGTTACATTTCTTTAATTGACTTATTTATTCTTTATTTATTTGATTTATTGTGTACACTTATTTATTCAAATTATTTAATATAGGCAGCAAAGTACTTACATTTCAATAAATAAAAAAAAATATTTATTTATTGGGTGCTTTTTATTTATTTAATGCAAAAACATTTCTGTGTTTCATTATCTTATTTATTTACATTTCTTTATGTACATTATTTTATTCCAAAACAATTCACATCAAATATTGATGTGGCATATGTCAATCAAAAGTACATGAAAGTTAAATGCTTATATGCAAGCATGCAAACTACAAATTGTACAAACCTGCAAATGTAGTAGCATTCACATGGTTTTGTTTGGTGTACTAGGCTTTGGACAATCACATGCCCACAGTAACACACGTTGATAGTAGTTGAATATGCTTCTGCAGGAGTGTTATATATCATGGAGTTGTGCAACTCATTTTAGCAATTAAGCACTACAGTTGGTAGTTCTTATTTCATATAATTTACAACGTCTATGGATGCACAAGAGGGTACTAGCTCAGGAGTCGTACGCAATGGCCAAATAAATGCTTGGATACGAGAGACAATCAGAGAAATGGAGTCGACGACATCAATGATTTGGGTGGAAATTGCTCGTGTCGCCAACGAGTACGCGTATGTTGACAGGATTCCGTTTCACACATCCGCATTGACTGGTAGCATGTGGATGCAGGAGATGTTTCGAGGAAGGAATGAAGCATTTCAGCGAAATTTTCGGATGTCACAAGATGTGTTCTTGATGTTGTGCAAGACATTAGTTGAGGATTGCGGCCTCCCAGTACCACAGCATCCCCGTGGTATAGACGTAGTTGAGAGTGTCAACATGTTCATATTCGTGTTACGGGGCTTCATGAGTTGAGACATAGAAGACCGTTTTCAACACTCGGGGGAAACAGTCTGGCGTCATGTAATGCGAGTTCTTAAAGCGACGAAGTTGTTCACGAGAGCACACTGTTGACCGACAAGGTCACAACACAGTAGACATCCGTACTTGGAGTCCCGACGAAAATATTTCCCATTCAAAGTGAGGGTATTTATTTTTGGCACATTTAATTATGAATAGTAGCCACTTTCGGAAAGTAAGGCAAACTTTTTTGGGGTAGTAGCATTTCTCCTTCACATGATGCTGTGTGATTCTGTAGGACTGTATTGGCGCGCTTGACGACACACATGTGGAGGCACATCTCTGATTCTGCAGGATTGTATTGGCGCGCTTGACGGTACACATGTAGAGGCACATCTCCCGCCTCAGGAGGCACCGCCATATTTTGGCCATAAAGGACGACACACGCAAAACATACTCGCAGCATGTGATTTTGATTTGTGTTTTACTTTTATTTCTTGCGGATGGAAGGGAAGTATGCATGACAGTAGAGTTTTTAATGAACTAACACAGGACCCAGCCAAACAATTCCCCATGCCAGAGGAAGGTAGGATGCATGACACATATTTTTTTGTTTGTATTAGTTGTGTGCATTTGATATTTGTAATCGATCACCGTACTAATGCGAAATTATCAACATACAATCAGGAAAATATTACCTTGTTGATGCGGGGTACAAGTACCAAAAAGGGTTTTTGGCGTCGTTTAAGGGATGTCGCTACCAGCAGGAAGTGTTTCGTGCAACAGGACGGCCAAAAAATGCAAACAAAAATTTCAACACGGTGCACTCCTCCTTACGGAGTGCAATTGAACGTACGTTCGGTGTATGGAAAGCGCGATGGGGATTCCTACATAACATGCCGCGATATGATTTCGGGAAAGTGCAGGTGCCATTGGTTGGGGCTTCAATGGCAATACATAATTTTATACGCCGCAACTCGAGCGACGATGAAGCATTCAACAAGGTTGCGAATGCAGAGAATTTTACATTCAACGACATGCCAAATGTTGACAGTCTTGGTGACGATGACGATGGTGAACCAGAGGACGACGATGACGTACATATGAACGAAGTGAGGAAATCAATACGGAATGAATTAGTGCGACATCGGCGTCAACTTGGGTTGTAAATCCTATTCGGTCTGTACGAGGTGATGGCAAACGAAATGAATGTGTGAAACTGTTGAAAGTGTCAAAAAAAATGTACAGTTCTGTTGGTAAGTTGCAGGTTCTGAAAGGCGTTTACCAAATTGTAATATGGAAATTAATTAATGTAAGAGCACAATTTGTTGGGAAAAATTAAGAAAAAAAATATGCCATTCAATTATAATAATAAAAATAATTAACAAAACTGTCATAATAATTTTAAAAAATTTGCTACAGGTATTTTGGTCTTTTGCAATAATTGTTTGGATAATTTGGTAATTGTTTGTATAAAAAAAAAATACATTTACTAATAAAGCAATAATAAAAAAAATAAATTCGTAAAAAAGAGAATAATAAATTTGTAATAATAAAAAGTATTTGGTAAAATTTGAAAATTGTAATACTAATAAAAAAAAATTAAAATTTGTTGGAACATCGGGTGGCTGTTACATGTGAAAACAGTGTTGGCGTACACAAGGCAGCATCGTAATTTTCAATAAAAGGTTAGGGTATTTTCGTCATTTTGCAGTGATTTGACACTTTTAAAAAATATTAAATCAAAAATCAAAAAAGCCAGCACTTCCCAAATCACCTCCAAAAAAGCCAAAAAAACTTAATAAAAAACCAAAAACACCCTCCAATCCCACCACGCTATATATGCAACTCCATAATCAGAGGTTACACTAACAGGAATTTTTCCGGAAAAGCTATTCTTTTCTATAAAGAAATAGTCATCCAAAGTTTTACAACATAACATATTTGCATTCCCCTCACTATTCCAAAACTTATCTAAGAGTTCGTTTGGTAATATGTTAAATAGTGAAAAAGCCACTAAAAAACTTAAGAAGGCAAAACGTAATTAAAAAAAAAAAAATTGAAGATTTATTCACATTCTTTATACTTTTTGCACGTTTTTTCATTAAAATCAAAATGTCATTTCCAAACCAATTTTTTTCGATTCATATTTTAGTTAAAAAAATTAAAAAGCCATCTCCCAAACAAACCCTAAGGAAAATAGTTGCATTGTCACTCTGCAAAGCTTGGTTTTGCACAGAACTCGTATATTCAGAACACAATTGAGGAACATGTGTATTGCACATTGTGGGTGGTTTGGTTTCTGCCCAAAAGGTGTTTGACAATATTCCTGACAAAAATGTGGTCTATTGCCTTGATAATTGAAATTGAAATTGAAAATGTGAGGCCTAATGAAGTTACCTTGATAAATGTTTTGTTGGTACATCATGATTAGAGGGCGTGTTGAGGACAGTGATCATGAAGTGGCTTTGTCACTCTTTCACGAGATGCAACTTAAGGGTGTCAAAGGGGATAAGATGACAATAGTGAGCTTGTTTCTTGCTTGTGCCCATCTTGGTGCTCTCGAGCTTGGCACTTTGTTGCAGTCTATATAGCAAGACAGACAATTGAGGTGAATCTTGCGCTAGGAACAGCACTCGTGGACACGTACACAAAGTGTGAAAGTATAGAGAGCGCGTTAAGTATGTTCTAGGAGTTGCCTGAGAAAGATGTTACGATATCTCGAGGAGATGAAGACAAGTGGGGTAAAACGGGATGCAATCACATTTGTTGG